ATTATCCTCAACACTCCCATTTTCCAATCACTTTATACAAAGTGTCAAATATGGACTTCTCCTGGTCTTTCCATGTTGAAGTGGATATGGAAACTATTGTCCGGACTTGGACTAGAGCGGATAGTATTATCATATCATGTTAATAGTATTTTTTGGGTTGATTTATACAGTAACCAGAGGCGTAGAATTTGAAATTTATAGGATCTACGTAATAATTTCATATGGGATTACACTAGCTACGTTATTGTTGTAAATAAATATTTTTAAGATAAATATAGGATTTGGACCAAAGTGGCAGGCAAGCTACCTTGATCCTAAGCCAAGTCTTCCTCATTCGGCCGAATCTGTACCGTTAATGCTACCTCGGCCCCTGACAGTAACAGGGCATGACTCAAGTCCTATTATCCCTAATATTTCAAGAACACTCACTAGAACTTGTCACTACACTACATACACTTAAAATATGCCTTTCAAGTGTATATATAAAACTAGAAAACTATGAAAAGGTAAAAACGATAATAGTACCTTAAGGGGTCGTTTGGTTGGAAAGATGTTATCCCAGGATTAATTATCCTGACATTAGTTATTTCACTTTTCCATGGTGATAAAAGAATACTACAATCCCAGGATAATTAATCCCGGGATTAATTATACCGTAATTTTCTCCCAACTAAACATGAGATAAACTCTTCTTAAATTTAGTTTCGGGAATAATTATTCTTTGTCCTTCGTAGCAAACGAACACTAAAAGGGTCGAGGTTTACCTTCTTTGTTTAACTTACAATTCAGAGTATCCTTATCCATTCTACAAATATGCACATCATATGTTAGTATATGTTAGATCAGCACGCTTATAATCAAAAGAGAGTCAAATAATAATCAAGCTATTAAAAAGGGCTCATGATTACACTGTACGACTCAAGTACATCCTAGAGATTCAATTTACCTTAATCCTATTAAAGGAATTACTAATTCCCTCTGCAAAAGATCAAGAAAGATCCACATCCCTTTCTCTTTTTCTCAAGTGTCAATTATGTTAAGAGGGTAAAAGAAAGAATTTAACAACAAGTGTACCATATAGCGGGCCAGTTATAAAATACACATTAACACACCAAAACGGGAGAAATTTAAAAATAGCCAGATTTACCACTGGTCGTTGAAAAATAGCCAAGTTTCAAAAGTCATCGAAATTTAGCCACTTTAAATCTGAGCGAAAACACTGTTCAAAATCCGGAAAAATACGCCCGCAAATTTTACGGGAGTTCCAGCATAAGTATGCTTAACTCCCGTAAATTTTACGGGAGTTCCAGGATAACTATGCTGGAACTCCCGCAAATTTTACGGGAGTTCCAGCAAGTATAATTGTCCAGTATAATATACTGGAGTTTGGAGCACTGGTGCTCCAGTCTCCCGCAAATTTTACAGGAGTTAGCAAAGTATACCGGTCCAGCATAATATGCTGGAGTTCGTACACAAATGCACCAGAACTCCCGTATATTATACTGGACCGGTCCCTGTTGCAGCAAAATAGTGGCTATTTTTCATTGACTTGATAAACGCTGGCTATTTTTCATTGACCAGTGTGAAAACTGGCTATACCATGATATTTTAACCACCAAAACCGGACACCTAGTCTTTATTTTGTCATTACTAATATCAGCTGATGGTCCACCAAATAGAGAAACTCAGTATATATTTTAATAAGCACCTTATTATGAATCATGCAATCTTGAATATCAGAGCAGAAAACAAAGGAAAAGAAGAATGTCTGTAGGAGAAAGGCTTCCAACAAACTCCAGCATGTGGAGTCAATCATCCTTATTAGGAAAGGATCTAAATCTGCACTCTATGTCAAGTATTAAGAATTGCAAGGACAACATGCGAAGAAGATTCAACGACGAGCAAATTCGATCACTAGAACACATGTTTGAGACAGAAGCAAGACCTGAACTGAGAACAAAACAGCAGTTGGCTAAAAGCTTAGGCCTACAGCCGCGCCAAGTTGCTATATGGTTTCAGAACAAGAGAGCTAGATCAAAGTCCAAGCAACTTGATATGGAGTATAGAATGCTTAAAATCAGTTATGATAACCTTGGTTCCAAGTATGAAATGCTCAAAAAAGAGAATGAATCCCTCCTCATCCAGGTATTTTTTGACATGTTCGACAGCTTCTTGCAGAAATGCTGGGTAAGGCTGTGTACGATAGACCCTTGTGGTCTGACCCTTACCCCAACCTTGTGCATAGCGAGAGCTTAGTGTACCGGGCTGCCTTTTTCCTTTTTGAGTTAGAAAAGCTAATACTAGAATTTTCTTTATCCTTACAGTTGCAGAGACTTAGAAAGTTAACTGAAAAGGGTGGCAATGAAGAGATTCAGAATGAAGGCAATAAATTAGACACAGAGGTGATCAAGTCAGAGTTCATACCAGAAACTTGCAGCCCTGAATTTGGCTTACCTTTGTGTGAAGACAGTAGGGAAATTGACTACATGGGGCCAGAATCTGATATTCTAAACATGGCTCAAATAGCTGATGGTTTATCAGAAATCGAGAACGAGTGTAACTTTGAGTCAAGAACATTTCTTGATGATTCTGATTGTAGATCACCCTTGTGGGAGTTTTAGTATAGAACTTTGCTGTGTAACTTATCAATTTTGTAGCCACGCCTCAAAGGTTCTAAGTGTTTCCACATTTCCCCTCCAACGTGACTCGAACCCACGACCTAATGGTCGTGGGTGAGGTGCACACAAAGTCAAACTCATAAACATAGAGTAGCAAAATGGCTGTGTCTTGCTTCCCAATAGTAGATTCTAATAAGAAAACACAGAATTAGATCAAGTGAAGATACAGATAAATAATCATAAAGCACAAAGCGTATACCATAAGGTAAAATGTGAGTCCAATTTACATGTGTACTGCTATACTGCCATATGTACTGCTGTATATACAGCCATGATATTTTAGTTTTCTCAAAACAAAGATGGTTTATCACCTAAACAGATGGGTCAAGAAAGCTGTGCCACTAAACAAGAAGATGTTTAATTGCATCAATACTGCCACTAAGTTTGTCAATTTGGGTGGATTTTCCACAACACGATGACTTTAACTGTTTTTGCGCCACATTCTGATTCATGCGCATCTGCAACCAAATTTATGCCTTTTCTTCCTTTAGTCTCCATATCATCTCATTATCCCACTATCCAAATTCAATGGAAGCAAAGGTCATAACATGTTCAAATTCATAGGTATTACAAGCTTAAAGGTCAGGGTGTTTCATTCTTCACCCTAAATTTATTTGATCCTCAAATTTAAAAGAGTTAATACCCTCAAACCTGAAATCCGCCTAAACTATACGTTCTTTGTCAGTTTACTACCTAAACTATCAAGTGTCGCCGAAAACCCCCTAAACTATATCCCCTTCATAATAACCACCCCCCCCCCCCCGTCTCATTCTTACTAGTGCGTATGATGCACGCTCTAAATAAATTATCCGTGTAGCATGCCACATGGATAATTAATCTTAAAATGGACTTAATTAGCCTACAATAATTTAATTACGTTGTAAGTTATTTTGAGTGGGTTTTACTCTTTCTATTCAGTAAGTCGGTCATTTACTCTCAGTCAAAGAAATGTCTCTCATCAGAGAAGAACTCTCATCGGACCTTCGATTTCTCTTCTTTAAAATTAGGGTTTAAGAATATCTTCCTCCGATTGTTGCTAGTCGCTACCATCGATTTCTCTTCTTATTGTGTTGCTGCTATTTCGAATTGGGAGTAAAGGTAGAGTTTTGCTGGTGAATCAGAACAAAATTAGAGCTTAGGATTTTGTTGGTGAAATATCTTCCTCCGACTCTTTGAAGATTCTGAAGATTATTAAAGAAGATTGCTTTAATCCTTTGAAGATTCTGGGTTAGCATTTGTCGTTGATGTTCTCAAAGAAGCAGGCTGCCCACAACTACAAAACACATTAAACCTCATGACTATTCTACGATGGGTGTTCTTCTTTCAAATTAATTTGGATAACAATGAAAAAGATTAAAAAAAAAACTCAATAAACAAAGAGAGAATTTCAAATGAATTAAGATGAAGAAAGAGATAAAAAGGGTAAAGAAATGGTGAAGAAAGGTGAAAAAATGGAGAAGAAAGGTGAAATAATGGAGAAGATGGTGTAATATAAAGAAAAGAGGGATAAAATATAAGCTTTTTAAATAAATGGGCTAATTAGCCGTTATTCAAGCTATCAGGTGGGCCCCTTTTCATGCTGATTTTACTGATTTCACACAATATACCACATAAGCGACCGGGGGGAGGGGGGGGGGGGGTTCGGGACACTCAATAGTTTAGGTAGGAAACTGACAAAAATCATATAATTTAGGCGAGTTTAAGGGTATTAACTCAATTTAAGATATCACATACATGTAGGCTCAGATAAGTAGAATACTTCATTTGCATTGTTTCCTTGATTTCCCAAGTTTTCTTTCTCACTTGAGTGATTATTTCAATACGATATTGGTTCATGGAAGGGCACAGCAAAAGCTGGTCAGCTTGTTTTACCCGTGAAGGGCGAAATGATGAGTGCGTGCCCAAACGGGCAATCTTCTGAGCTAGCAAACTTCCTAAGAGAGGAGGTGCAAAAAGAAAGTCCCACATTGAAAAAAGGAACATTGTACTATAACTTTTTTACTCCTCCATAACTGAGAGGACAAAACCATAATGTCAACAAGGCCAAAATGAACATCATGTATAATTGTACAATGAGCTGCTACATTAGGGAATCACTCTTGTGATGCAATGCTCACATCTATATTTTTACTCTGATCAGTAGGATGTAAAGATGGAATGATTCATGCATTTGCACATACACATGAACATCCGTTAGTGAACCACTGCATGTTTCAACATCAAGTTAAACTTGTGTTGCTATTGTTTATGTTCTTGGCTCACTTGAGCAAACATAACAGAGGAAAAGACTCTTCGAAATAGCAGAGGATGAAAGCGCATATATAAGTACACATCTAGCAAAGCTTATACTAATGTAACCAATAGAATCTAGCTCATCAAGCAATATGAAAATAGCTCAAAATCTTTAATATAGCTCAAACACAAATCCTTCAATGTTTTAGAGTAAATTGAACAGGCAACCCAACAACACATCTAATAATTTCTTAAGGATCTCAACATTAGCAGCTACATGTTGCCAGGACTTCAAAATCACCATCTACTTGATCTTCTTCTTGGGCCTCAACTGCAAAGCCAAATAAATGATAGAGATCAGTCTGCAATCACTGATAGGAGTTAATAAATAATACGTGCTCTTGAAGAGTTTGATGAAAGGAACCTGGTTGCTGTGGCCACACTTCTTTTTGCGGCAATTGACAGCACGAGGATGCAAACGAGCATAGCACCTTTAAAATAAGGGAAAGCAATAGAGACGCAAACATGTATTTTAGTTAAAAGAAGACAAAATTTCAGGTTGACACCATTATTTTTTTCTACAGCAGAGGCTATTAAACACATTTACAGGTACATCAGCAGGTCCACTTAATTCTCGATTGTATCACTCTGACTAATGAACCTTTCAAATGAAGAAAATAGCAGATGGCAAGATATTTCAAGGTTCTTAGTAACCATAGATGAATGTTGTGGAAAGTAACTTCAACTTTCTATCAAAGTTAAGGTCGTTGGATATCAAAATATCCAACGACCTTAGGAAGTCTAGGTATCATTGGTATAATAAGTTATTGAGGAGACAAATAGATAAGGTTATTTAAGGCAGTATCATTGCTGTAATGTTTTATTGAGGGGACATATAGTTAAGGTTATTTAAGGTGGAGGGCCATGGTTACTCTCAAAATAAAATAAGAAAAATAAGAAAATAACTTGACAGTTCAAATTAATCTGCTAGGTAACATTCTCATATACTAGTTCAAAAAATCATCATGGCTCAAAATTCAACCAAGCCACTACTCCTGTTTATGAGGGCAGGCTCAATACGACTAACTCCTCAACAATGACTGTTTAATGCGCAATAACCCAGGAGGTCAGCTGTCAGCTTTAAAATCACACATAGTTGTGGCGGTACATGTCCAAGATTTTGTTAGGACGAAAGTATGCAGGATTCAACATGGACTATAGAGAAATTTAAAGGCAGCAGGGGCATTGCAGCAAATCAAGTGAGGTTGAATCCAGTGGACAGTGCATCAGTGGTCAATTACTATTAGTCATCACCCCTGACCCCTGGGTCGCCGATGAGTTGAGAAATAAGGATAAGATACATTATTTGGACATGTTCAACCAACTAATGGATGCACAATGTTCCTAGCTAGGAATGCCAGCAGCACAGAAATGTACGCTTGTGTAAACACTCACTGCATTTTTTTATCTCAACCAAATGTAGAAGCAGGAAAGGGGCAATCGTGCCAGCTTTTTCAGAAATTTTTCTTCCTTAACCAACTAATCTATCAAACTGATAATTTCAGTTAATATCACTCACTCGTGTTAGATCATTATTTCTTTAAGAAGAGAAAATACTACAAAACTATTTACTAAGGTCATAAGGATCAAAAGTCACTTAGCAGTCTAACCAATCTATGATTAAAGCTGTAAAATCATTGTTATTAAGACCAGCATTTCCCTAGAAGACAAGTAGACTTTCATCTATTTTGACAGACAAAGCTATAACAGTAAGCAAAAAGGATGCATTAAAGAGATGACTTGCACTTTAACCCCCTAATTTTTTTGAAAGACTCGGGGGAGCTTGAACTTTACACTGTTTATACTTAGAAGGAAGTTCCGGACACCTTGAAATTGCAAGGCGATTACTCCAATAATGTTTCAGTCTAGAACAAAATAAAGATCTAATCAATGTCTCTTGCGAGCTTAACTAAATAGTGCACTAACATTAGTAATAGAATAGTAGTACTAACGGATAATTGAAGGAAAAGCGCTATTAGAATAAAAACATTACAAAAAAGAGAAGTATATAAATAGGGACAAATCATAAGGACCCATTAAAGACCTACTTGCGGCAAATCATTTTGTCCTGATTGTACTTCCTGGCCAAAGCCATCAAAGATGGTTCAATAATTCCACCACGAAGCCTCAGCACCAAATGCAGAGTCGACTCTGCCATTTTTCGCATCCAACATTAATATCCCATTGAAAAAACTTTAACTTTTGGCTAAATTAATAAGAAACCTAAGAAATTATACCTTTCTGAATGTTATAGTCAGCAAGGGTACGGCCATCTTCAAGCTGCTTACCAGCAAAAATCAGCCTTTGTTGGTCTGGTGGAATTCCTATAGCACCAAAAACACACATACAAACTTAGTTAAGCTCTATAATAGGGAAAAAAAATACTATTATGTGATTATTTGAACTTGAATATAGAGTATAAAACATAAAACAAACCTTCCTTGTCTTGAATTTTGGCCTTGACATTGTCAATAGTGTCACTGGATTCAACCTCTAGGGTTATAGTTTTACCCGTCAGAGTTTTCACGAAGATCTGCATTTTCTCCGCCCCTCACCAACGATCTTCTACTCGTCTTCTATGCAGCTCCTCTTCTGCTGCTAACAGTTTTATATGTAGGGTTTATAGCTAGAGGATGGAAAGCTGTTGGGTTTGGGTTAATTCTTTTGATGGGCTGGGCTTTTGGGTCGATTGGCAGTTGGGCAATGCAAATCAAGTAGAAATGGCGTGGAATAGCCACTTTTTAACATATTATTTAGTTTTTATTCAGTATTTTTAATGTTGTGCAAAATAGCCACTAGTCTATTAAAATTAATACGAAAAGACATTTTTATCCTTTATTCATGAGTGATGTGTAAATGTTAAGGACACCACCTGAAGTTAGGACGCCATGTCCTTAACATTTTACACTGCACATATGAAGTTAAGGATATGATGTCCTAAAGTTTAGCAACGGAAGGTGCAAATACAGGATATTATTTCCTTAATATTTACACAACACTCATAAAGTTGACGACACTATGTCCTTAACATTTACACTGCACACATGATGTTACGGACACCACGTCCTTAACATTTGCACTCACATGCGAAATTAAGGAAATGAGGTCCTAAAGTTTAACAACAGAAGGTGCAAATACAAGTTAATGACATTATGTCCTTAACATTTATACTGCATACATGAAGTTAAGAACGCTATGTCCTTAACATTTACACTGCATACATGAAGTTAAGAACGCCATGTCCTTGACATTTACACTTCACATATGAAGTTAAGCACATGATGTCCTAAAGTTTAACAATGGAAGGTGCAAATACATGACATTTTGTCCTTAATATTTACACAACATTCATATTTACACAACACACATGTCTAGCACATGGGTATTTTTGCCGGGCAGGTAAAAATTTATTAAGCACTGTCTAAAGAGTAAATATATTTTAAACAGTGGCTAAAGAATAAAGACATCTCTAATTAGTAGCTAACTGTGCACTTCCCCTCCCCCCTAATTGTCCAGTATAA